CTGAGCTCGAGTCCACATCTAGCNCCTTTGCCAATTTCTCCATCCCATGCCCAATGAAACTCGATAGAAACACAACTACACCTGCCAACGCCAATCCTGTTATCCTCCTCTCTTTCATCAGGGCTGTTCCTTCCCTAATCGCATCAAAACCATATCGTTCTTCCAGTACAGAGACTACGAGGCCAAGCCCTGTTATAGCCATTATGTATACCTCAATGCCAATACTGAGAACCGTGATTAGGTATCGCAAGGCGGGCGTGGAACCGAACAGAGCTGATAAAAACATGGGAAAAGGTGAGTAGAGGAGGAGCAGGCCATATACAACGATGGAAGTTGCTGTTACCCGCATCCATGAGGACTTCACTGAAGCAAACGATGATTTCAGAGACGGGTTTATGCCGTGGTGTGAGAAGGAAGTTGATGTGATGACGGTTATGGAGGCGATACATGAGAGGATGAAGGATGGGACAAAATACCGGGATTTGAGAAGTAAAAGAGAGACAGCGTCTTCTCTAGACTCTTGCCAGATCTGTCTAGCCTCAAACCGTGTGTGCACAACGTTTGCTAGGGCTTCCAAACGAAAGACATGGTTTTTAAGGCGAAAGGAAGAGAGAGTTAGGGAGAGGTGTAAGGCTGAGAGAGGGATCGCTATAAAGGCAAAGATTGGGAGTAAGATGTGTTTGGTTTTAAAGAGAATCAAGAAAGAATCAAGGAGTGTTGTGGTGATCCGCGTGGAAGAACCGGATCGCTTAACCTCAATCATGATTTCGAAAGGCGCATAAGAACCTCCTTAAGCCTCAACTCAAAAGGAATGTTTAAGAAAACTCTACCAAAACCGAGTCAACATTTATGCTTCTAGAGACTGTCTCTTGTATGAGGCCTGTGGGAAAACAAAAGCACAAAACTTTTAAGCAACTCAGAGAATCCATTCAAGACTGAGCACAAAACTTGTAGCAACTCGGAAAATCCATTCAAGACTACGCGTATCGCAAAACCAAACACTATATCCAATACCTTGTTTCAGCAAAAGAAACATACTCATCTAGAAAATTACAGATTTCTCAAGACTCTGTGAAAGACTGACACTTTTAGCTAAACAGGGTTTGTTTTCAATTAACAAATCCAGAGATGATACATAGGTGACCAAAAAAAAGTTAAAGACTTTAGCTTTCAAGCAAGGAGCTTTGAGAGTTCAACAAGTGAATATAAACCCAAAAAGAGTATGGATTGATTCAAAGTAGATCAATTTCTGTGATCTTTTGGACCAATATGTGCATGAATGAATCAAACCAAAACATTGAGGATCAAGTAGACGCAACGAATCCAGAACTAGGTTCCGTTTCCTAAACTCCAGTCTCTAAACAAAAATGTACAAACAATTTGGATTCCCGATCTAAAACTTTACGGCTTAATCCCAACTGAAACAGTTATCAATTCCGATCTAGTTCGAGATTAAGACAAACCTGAATTATGCGAAATCACTTATTGGTGTAAGAAGAAAATCGAAGAAGCAAGCTTGGGAGGAATTCATTGAGCGAGGAAGAACAAGTCAAATCCGACCTGGGTTTATAAGTCTAATTTCCTTTTATCCCAAATTATTTTATTTTAGGATATATTTTTCCATTAATATTGAAATTGATACGTTTAAATATTCAAGGGAAATTGGTGAATTTACTGATTTGACCAATTTAAGCATGACAAAATAATATATATAAAAAATTAGTAGTGTTTTTACATTTTATCTTGAGTTTGATTCCAAAAAATGTAAAGAACCAACTGTATTTTGCTGTTGAGTTCTGTTATGGTATCGTATTTTGCGAGTACAAAAAACCGTTTCTTGTAACGAATCATCCTTAACATTTTTATAAAATAGTTGTGGCCAATATGAGTATGAATGTGTGAAATT